CCTCCTCCTCCTCCTCCTCCACCACCAACTTCTTTCCCCACCACCCACGTCGTAATCTTCGTCCTTTTTCTTCTTCTTTCTCGTCGTGGTCGTGGTCGTCGTGGTCGTCGTAGTCGTCGTGGTTCTCCTGCTCCTTGCCGTCGTCTTCGTCTTCGTCTTCGTCTTCGTCTTCGTCGTCGTGGTCGTCGTGGTCGTCTTCGTTATTGTCGTCGCGCTGACCCGTTACCAAAAACCGCACGCGCGTCGTCCCCCTGCTGAACGCCGCTCCGTCATCCTTCCTTCTCTCCACCGCCACTTCCACCTTCCACCTTCTCGTCTTACGCGTACCACCGACGGACCTCTGCAAGATCACCGAACAACCCTTTGCTGATCACTCCAAGTCGTCGACGATCGACACTGACAACGAGTCGTAATCGTACGTTGGGACAACGCTCGGTTACGTTCGATGCCGCCGTTCCGCGCGCGATCGCGCGATCGTCTCGAAGAAAGACCGATGCTTCGAATCTTCGTTAACCACGAAGTGGAACTCTCGAAGAAGCGACAGCATCTAGCGAACTTTCTCCGAGGAGGGGGTGGGTTTCCACTGGCGGCCGCGCGTTTTATCGATTACCGATCGACCGGTCGGTCATTTGGATGTCAAGGATACGGTTTTTCTCCTCTCTTTGTGTACGATCTATAAATACGAAATTCAGCCCGAAGCGAGGCTAGACGCTCTAGGATTCGACACGGGTTAATTTTAGTCGCCGTTGGTCGGACAGCAACGGACCCGAGAGAAACATCATCACGACGATATCCCGATTCCGTGCGAGCTGACGATCGACGCACGGTTTACAATCGGCGACAATCCAGTGACTTCGCCCGCGAGGTGGAATTCGTGCGGCCTTGAAAATACACTTCAGACGACACACAAGGGAGGGGGAGGGGAATAATCGGAATACACCCCTGATAAACACGATTACTTATTCTTCGACACACTTGCTCCTTCTCCACGATTCCTATCTTTCTCACCACTCTATCGATCGACCCCCAAGGTTATCTCTCTCTCTCTCTCTCTCTTTCTCTTTCTCTTTCGATCCTCGCACGCACGCACAGGTCCATCCGGCGACGAGTGAGAGGCGCCTGCCAGCTCGAAAACGCGTTTCCGATTCCCGAATCGAGCGAGGAACAGCTGGTTTCGCGCCACGAGACGCGAGTCTCTTCTCTCGTTCTCGGCCCGGCCCCGAGAGATCGACGACGCGAGAGAGATTCGAATCGACGACGCGTTCGAGATCTAAATCGAGTCACCTGTCGGGGTCAATCGGCACTGCGCGACGACACACTTGCTCGAGTTCTCTCGAAACGACGTTGACGAGTGGACGATCCGTCTGTCCGGGATGGTGTTGGATATCGGGCCGGGTGCTCGATATACCGGGAGAAGATGCAGTAGGTTTTTCGTCGAACTTGACGAAACAGCGACGACCGAACAGCAGCAGCCGCGGTTTCGCCGTCCGTCCGACGCCGTTACGCAACGCTTCTATAAGCATCCGTGATCCGCTCGGAATGTGGCCCTCTCTCGCTCGCTCTCCTACCGTCAGGCAGTCTATCTCTGTTCCGCTGTTTCTCTCCTGTTGCTCTCCTTCCCACCGTCTCTGTCTCGGTCGCTCCTCGGCAGCCTCGGCTTCACCTCTCGCCCTCTCGATCTCGCGCGCTCCGCGCCCGTCCGTTCCTTCGTTCGTTCGTCGTCGTCGTCGTCGTCGTCGTCGTGGTCGTCGTTTCGGCCAGTCGTCGAAACGAAGGCGCGGAAGCTCCGTCCGATCGAGCGAGTTGGTCCCCGTTGAGTCGATTTATCGATTACGTGCACGTAGCTAAAGAAGAGAACAAGAAGAGGAAGAAAGAGAAAAAGAAGAAGAAGAAGAAGAAGAGTATTCTGTGATCGCTATCCCCCGGTCTGCCTCCTCCTACGTGCCGCGAGAACACGGCAGCCAGTGAATCAGCTCGCGCCGCCTCTTCCTACATGCGGCCTCTTGTCGGTCTTAAAATATTCACTAGACTTCACGACGTTTCGCAGAGTATCGCGAGCAGAGGCACGGTGCTGTTCGTATCCAGAGAGGACACTTTGCTCCTCTGCACTCTCTCGTCTAATCCTTCCGACTCGAGGATTCTTCTCTCACTGGACTTTTTCAACTCTGGACCGCACTCTCGGTTCACTCGGAACGAAGCGAATTCAGTCGATCACGGAGCACACACCCACACACACACACACACACACACACACACATACACACATACACAGTTCTTCCCTTTTCTCTTTCCTCGCGACACACAGACGACGAAGCCTAGGGACAACCGAGACAACGATCATCGGCAACATCCGCGCGTTGTCTACGTGTCTGCTGCGACTCGCTTCGCGTTGCTAGCCTCGGTGGTAACGATACTCGTGGCCGCGTCGTCGTCATGATCGTCTCTGGAGGGCTAGGACTGACCCGGTGATCGTCAACCGAGACGTCAAACCGTTTAACCGTTCGCGATCGCTGGCCAGACACGATTCACCGCACCCGCCCAACCGTCCGTCCGCTCTAGCAACGCGCTAGAGCGGTGCTCGTGCTCGAGCTCTAGCCTCGAGCTTCTCGGCTAGCTGGCTAGGAGCTTCTATTTTTATCATGGGGTGGCGAATTGTTCCCCACACCGGCGGCGGCGGCGGCTGCGGCCCACGAGGCGGCAGCTCGAGCGGACCAGAGGTTCGCCAATAAGACCGGGTTCAAACCATTTATAAATAGTAGGAGTTTCTCGCGCCGCGCTTCTCGCGTCGCGGAAAATCGGCGGACGATCTCGCCGGAATACGGATTCGGGTCTGATTCGGCTCGATGCTGCGAACGAGTCAGATACTGTTTGCCGCGTTGACCAATCGGCTTTCAATCACCGAATCACTCGAGTTCGAAAGCTTCTCCTGGAAATCTTTCCTCCGCCGCAGCAACGTGCCTCGTGGAAAATGATACTACGTACTAAAATCTGGAACGTCAGTTTCATCGACTGACATAATAATAAGAATGTACGATTAGCAATAAGAAACATTCGTCGTTTAATCTATTAAGAAGTTTGTTAAATCATTTTTTTTAATAAAGTGTCGACGTAATTGAATAGCTTTCCATAATGTTCTGAAATGCAAGAATATATTCATCCTCAAACTAATCAATTTGATTAATTTTCTAAAGTCTAATATCGTAAGGTGGAATATATATATATATATAATACCCGTCGACTAAAAGGAATTTACGATAGACTTTCAAAAGGTTTACGCGCCGAAAGTTCAGCTGGTTCAATTCATCGATGAGTGCGAGACGTGTTCTCGATTAGCTAGTACGTAATCTCGTCGAGCACGTGTATCGAAGCGTGGTGCAGATAAAAATTTACGATATTTAGAAATAGAATCACCGAGCACGTACGTTGATGTATGTACAGCCTTTGAATCGAGTGGGAAAATATGCCACGTTCGTGATTAAGGTCCATGCACCATGTCGAACGAGAGTGAACTCGAGAGAAAATTCTCCAAGATCCGCGTTGACAAACCGCTATGAATGATAATGAAATGTTACCATGGCAATGAGTGTCCATTCAGATTTGTACGATTACTAATTTGTACGTGGGTGAGCCTGCGTGCTTACGTACGTATATTTGGATGATTCAACTTTGAATGAATGCGTAAGGAGAAATATCAACAATTATACCTAGCACACGTGTTTCCTGTCCGTAGAACGTTCTTGCGTAGAATGAAGCTCGTGGAGGAAATTTAGGACATTCTTCCTCCCTCGTCTTCAGAATGAAACTTTGGGAAAATTAGGAGAAACTTAGGTAAATTCTGAATGATTTCTCGTTTGATTTCCGGTTTTTCAATGAAATTCAGAGAAAATCCGAATCTTGTTTCTTCTCCTTTCTCAAAATTTCTCGCCAAGAAACTCGTTCTTTGATTCTATCAAAGTGAGCCACGTTAGTGGAAACGAGAAACAATCAATCGTATCTAGGACACACGCGTTCCTCGGTGAAATTTCATGTAAAGTTTATTCCACATCCACGAAACTAGGAGAAGAGGAAAGAGAACGTCTCAACGACTTGGGCCACCGTCGAGCAAGCTGTGAAATGATTTCGATCGAATATCGGCAACAACGACGTCGAAGCAAAAGTTACGAAATCGAGGGTGCTTTACTTTCGCAACGCGGACGTGCAGTGGGATCCAACTGCGACTGGGTGAACGAAGATTTCGATCGATCGGTTGAAAAAGCACGAACTCGTCTATAGCCGGTGCATAAAGCTGCATTTTTGATGCTGCACATGCGACTCGTCGTCGATGTCGGTCAGTCGCTTTCCTCCTTCTCTCTCTCTCTCTCTTCTCTCTTCCTTCTTCTTCTTCTTTTTTTTTTTTATGGAAACTAGGCTTCCTTGAATTTATTAGAATACATTCGCCCGTGTCAACGATCCTACGAGATACTATAACGTCGTCTATTTTCCTTCAGTCTCTCCGAGCACGTCGTGGAGAGCCGGATCGAAAGCTCGACGAGAGTCTATGTAGAACGCGAACCTCGTCCAATCCTCGCTCGCGTCCTCCCGCTTTTTTATATAACAGAAATCAATTAATCGATCCCCCTCTCCGCCCCCACTCCCGCTCCCACGACTCGTCGGTGTGCATATCGTTGTACGCAACAACGAGAAATAATTACGCGCGTTCCCCGATGATGCTCACACGCTCGCCGGTGCGCGGTCACGAGAAAAAGAAAAGAGGCTACAAAGCGGCTCGGTATACCCTCATTATTAAAATAACTCCTCGTAGAGGATCGTTTTCCCTCTCGAAAACGCGGTCGTTCGAGTGCCAACTTCGAGTACTTGCGACGATGGGCCGATCGGCTTCTTCGCCCCTTGGAAAATCCTTCGTCCACCCTGTTAACAGAAGCTAGCATCTCCCCTTTTCGCTTCGAGTGTACGACCTACGAGTTTCGATTGGCGTTCACGCGTCGGTTGAAAAATATCAGATGCCAGAGCTAAGCGAACGTGCGACGCCCTCGTTCCACGCATGCCTCTTGCTCCTGCGGACGCGTCAGCCTGCACCGTCCCTGCGAATCGCGTCGTCGTCGATTCGTGATCAACTGCCGATGCGATGTGCCGATATTCTGCAGCTGTCGCGCGGGAACTCCGAGGCACTCGAGGGACGAGCGACTCTTTACAATTTGACGAGTCCTACGTGCATGATCTCGTTTCTCACCACGCTGCGCGTACCGAGATGGGCAGAATCATCTTTGGTAAAAAAAAAAAAAAGAAAAAAAGAAACTCAAGGTCTCCAATAGGTGTGACGAACATCGTAGATGAAAATATAGATTTTTCGGAGTAAAGATCGCGTCCGGCAGACGTCGTTTCGAGTGTGGACGGGTCGAAATTGATCTGTCAAAGAGGAACCGTGTGTGCCGGCACTAAACTCGCGGCCCCGAAAATCACCGGGCCGAGTCGGTCGTACTTGGAAGCGCAGCTGCAAGCATCACCACAAGGAAAACACACGGAAATAGAGCGGGACACGGCTAGAGCAATCGCGCGTGGCTGACCGGCGTTCGATAGAAGAAGGAAACAGCTAGCTTAGAATCCTTTCCCAAACGTTGATCCTGCTATCTCCTCGCGACCGTTGCACACGCACCAGCCTCCCCTCCCCTCCGAGCACAACACCGGTGAGCCGTTTTAGACCTCACTCTCGGGTCCGCACTTCCGGTCGATCGATCCGCGCCAGCGACACGTGCAGGCTTTCCGCGGACGACTCTGTCGCGCACTACGCACTGCCTCCGCGGAAAAACACGTTGTGCGTTTTTCCGCACACGTGCGTCCCGGCTCGCACACATGACACTTGTCAAACGCACACACACACACACACACACACACACACACACACACAACTACCGCAACTGCGCCACACCGCATTCACGCATGCAACCCCAAGTCCTGCAGCAGCACAGACACACGCATTCAATCGGACGCACGTAGCTTCGTCGATACTATCACCGCGGTATATATATATATATATATATATATATATATGTATGTATGTATGTATGTATTCGATATATATATATATATATGTATACATATGTATATACTCGAAGCACGATCACACGATTTTCTTAATTGAACACGACGATTGACACAACGGAGCGAGGAAAATCGGGAATACGGGATGTACCGTGCCGTGATGTGGCGTCTCGACGCTCCGGCATCGAAGAGCCACCACGAAGGACGCTTGTTGGTCGATCGTTGTTGCCTGTTTTGTTGCTCACCACCGTTTCACAACGGTCTTCAGCTGCGCTCGATGATCACAGGGCTGTTCCTCCTTTTCGATCGTTCGACCCTCTCGTTCTGTCCTCGTCCCGTACGCGACAGAGTCGCGTTGCACCGAGTTGCTGTTCGTTCACGACGTGAAACTCGCCCCTCTCTTCCCCCTTGCCGATTAACTGTTTCACGCGTCCTCGACTTCCGGTTCGCCGCGTGTCGTTGCGCGTCCAAGAGGCTCGTTTTGATCCGGTTTCTTTCCCCCTTTGCGTCCTCGACGTACACGCACCGTGGATACGGAGACGTGCGTCAGGGTGGTGGCATGATTGCGACTATCCACCTCGTTGTGCGTCGCCGTCGGCGCTGCCCTCGACGCCGTGCGACGCCGGCGTCGTGGCGCCTCGACTCGGCCGTACGCCGTGGCACACATGCGCTGCTCGATACCGATGGCCGCGATTCGTCGTTCTCGCGCCGTTCTTCCCTCGAGCGCGATTTCCCTCCAACAGAGGAATTCCATCTCACGAATTTTTCTCGCATCATATTTTTTGCTTCTTCTTTTCTCTTATTGTGTCTCTACTCGATCGTCGCATCAATGTGACTTTCTTTCTTTCTTTCGGTCTGTCGACACAAACGGTACCATTCTATACTGTTTTTAAATCTTAGATTCTGTCGTATTCTTAAAAAATTTATATTCCATATTGTTGCTGCCGACATTGTCTAATTCTGTAATTTTATACAGTGTGACATTATATCGGTTTGTTTTACTTTTGTATTTTATATTTTTATTTCGTGTTACATTTGTAGTCCCTGTAGATTGTATATCATTATTTTATTCATATATTAACGCTAGACCAATTTATAATTTTCCTTCGAAAGTTTGTAGGTGTACAAGCAATGTACTTGTAGAGATTTGAATGATTCTTCGTAAAATACAAACTCTTGTATTCTATTGTATCACAAAGTTTTCCTATTCCTCTTCTTTTTTCTATTTTATTACAAATCCAATCCTCGAGGTATTTATTTTGTCAGTTCATCAGCTTACTTTGAAATAACCGAAATCTTCCGTTTGAATACTGGACACACATGATGGTTTCATTTTGATTAAATTTTAAATTAAAATCGTTCCGCACGTTTATACTTAAATACTTAAACCTGGTCACAGTCTTCCTAAACCTAAATTACTAATCAAAATTCCTACCATTTATACGGACGTTAAACCACGATATTGAAAGCATAATTCTGTCTTATAAGTTCAAACACCATTCTCGAAATACTTGCCCATTCTCGAATTATTTCGAAGCGTTTTATATTAAAAAAACGCAAGTTTCCTTCAGACATCGCAGAGTTACATATACACGTGATTGAGTTCGAGTCGAAATTTCAGGCTCAGAAACTGGCTGCTCTCGAATGTACGCATATGTATATATAAACAGGAATATGGAATAAGGTGGGAACACATTTGCATGGATGTCGAGCCAGCGTGTATAGTACATATTTCGGAATGTAGGGTAGAATATGTGCGCACTGGATGGAAAATCGAGGTGTGGCAGCGTTTACTGGAAAATCGAAGACGACTACTTCTCGTAATACGCTTCGTGAAACTCGATAGATTCTACTGCCGACAAGCGTGACTCGTGCAACAATACAGCCAGACAACTGTATATGCGAATATTTCTTCCACGTGGTCGGGCAATTTAAATATATTACATAAATACTATTGGAATCTTGGTCACGTGGACGACACGCCGGCTTTATCCCGTATCTTATCCCTTTAATTTTCCTTACGATGAGAATCCTTTCATCGCGGGAAGATTTTTGCTTGAATTTAGAAACGAACGTGGCGAACATGAATCGTTGAGCAAGCATTTTTTCTTCTTTTTTTTTTTTTTACCAACGATTTGTGATTGTCTTCTTTTTAATTAAGAAGTGGTGTCGTTGTTGAATGTGTCCGTCGTTAAACGTAAATCTTGCCGTCTGCTGGCAAGATATCAGCACGAAACGACTGGCAACATCCTCTGTATCGACGGACAGTTAAATATCGACGTCGAGTGCAAGTGCAATTGCAGATAATGTACAGGCGAGGCGTATGAATAGACGTTGCACCTTACGGACTTTCGTGACCTGAAATACCGGTATGAGTGAGAAAAGTCACTGGTTTTTTAGCGCACTCTACATTTAAACAACGAATGCGCCAGCAAAATGATTTTTCAGACCCACTGCAGTGTTGTCAAACTTTCAACACCGAAATGTAAACCTTGTCTGTGACTATACCAAGTGAAATGATAGAACCAAAATGATTGATCAGTATCTCCAGATTCCAAAACACGAGATTAATATTTATAAAATCAGTCCGTTTTTTTTTTTTTTTTTTTATTATGTATTTATGTCAGAAGAAGCTTTATCGTTTGTGTTTTACGAGTTCATTGTTTGACTTTACGTTGGAAACGATAAAATCAGTACTTATAACAGGATTTCTTATTTATTGAAATATATAGGTCTGTTGCATTTTATCGAATCATGTAGTTTGAAACATCTATCAAAATCTGAAGTCTACGATCTTCTACAATATTTAAAAATGCACAATCATAAAAGAAATTCAATCTATAATTTTAGGAATCAACGATTAAGTCGTGATCACAGCCGATTAGCTCATACTATTTGTTGTATAATAGTAATAGCAAATAACAATGACTGCTATGCATCGAAACCCATTCACCCTTCTTTTACTTTAAAACAAATTTATTCGCCAGAAGAAAAAAAAGAAAAGAAGAGAAACTTCTTTTGACATACGATTGCAAAATGTTCACAAGCATGGTCCTTGCAAGCGAACAGCAAACGGAGTTTTTAACAAAAGAAAATACAAATCAAAGTTCAAGTTGAAAATAATTACAGCTAAGGTTTCAAATATTTCACATATTTCGAACAAAAAAAATAAAAAAATTGTTAAATTTTCATTTTCAATGATTCAAAGTTGTTCCTCTGAAGTACATTGTTCGAGATTGTTATAAATTATTATTTAAAAATTTTAAATAGCACTGAGAAACATTACAGAGGAGGATTTATTGTTTAATTGTTGCAAGTAAATTATTAGAAATATTAGATAATGTTTAAACGGTCAGAACATGCAGAGATATGTACTCAGAGGTTCAATTTATACTGAGCTCTGTATCGTTCAAGGTCAACTTGACTTTTCGATCTTTGTCTTCCTCGACACTTTGAAAAACAATTTTCTTCATCATAACAATCGATTTATGCTTCTACTGATGTTTATTACAATAATAAATATTATACTTACGTTAGTTTCTTACTTTCTCTTGTATTAAACATGTACGATATTGTTATATACGAATCATTAAAACTAATTAATAATTGTCTGGCATACCAGAGAATTCAATCAATGATTTAACTGATATGAGCGAATGAATCATTAACCAACGTTTGGAATTAATATAGAAACTAATTAAATTACAAATAAATCATTCATCGTTACCCAATAACGTTTAATAACATTATGAGAATGTATTGATGATCTCATTGTTATGAATAGTTTATTGAATATTTAGGCACATTATTGATTTAATTCTCACAAGTTAAATGATCGAAAGCATTTGATGAATTAGAATATTCAGAAATTACACGTAAAAAATTCAATTTGCGAGTTTCATCGACGAGGATATAATTTAACAATTCTTATATTTTATTTTTCGTGAATTTACGTGCACAGCTGTTTGATTCATCATAGCAACAAATGTCATAATCTACGTATCAAAGATTCAATTATAAATGCAAATATATATATTTAATGATAATTAAAACGTAAGAAGGGGAACATTCACGAGACAGCCATCATTGATCAGATATATATATTTTACACTTAGCAACTTCCTCCTTTTGCTATCGTATAACGGGTAACTCGTCGGATTACACGTAATCATTGACGTAACCAAATATGAATTAGATTCGTCTCGTGGCGGAATAAATAAATAAATAAATAACAACTCATTATATAATATATGAATCTTCTTCGGAATTGCGAAATCACGTGTCCAACGTATTCTTATATAATAGAATACAATCAACTTCTTCGCAAATAAATTCACTGTTGTATCAAAGCTCTTATGTGTTTTGATATTTGAAAATATTAAAAATATTAATTATATAATTAAATATTAATATTGTAAGTATTTATATTATAATTTATCTTATCGTCGAGTGATGTTACAATTTCCTCCGTGTCGATTATTCTGACGAAATATCGTTCCACGATGATAAAATATACTAGATTTA